CAAAAAAAGTGGTTCTTTAGAGTGTTTGGCAAAAGCATTGGTACTCATTAGATAAATCATTCTACAAAATACTTAATCATAGCCCACCTAGCAACACTGTAGAAGTGATCAAAGCGAAGGAACGCTATACAAAACGTTAGTCTAGGGATGATCGAAGGCAAATCCTATACTTATCGAACGAAAATAATAGTTTTGTTACTCTTCCTGGTAAAATATCTGTTGATAATATATGCCCTTTAATTTGCAATTAAAAGAATGAACTATCAATATATAATTGGGGCTGTACACTGACTGTTAACGGACTGTAACACGATCTGTTCATTTGACCACTTTCGTGACGTCACCGATTGTGACAAAACTGACTTTTCTATTTCAGAAACTTCACGAACTGAATCAGAAGCATAATTACTATGTTAAGGTGTAAATATAAGTATTTAACGGAGAGAGAAAAAACCAAGAGAGAAGAAAAAGGAATCTAGGTATTGCAGTATAGCACGAATTGCTGTTAGAAATATACAAGAAATGGGTCATGTTTTAGCAGTAGTTAAATCCATAATTTCTACATGCATTTTTGATATTCATTTGATTAAACATCAACAAAAAGTATTTGCAATGTTTAATAGATATGCACGAAGCACTTTTTGTATGAAAAGGATACAGAAATCCTTCGACGACCATTATAAGTACAATAATACAGACTTGGTGATAAAATGCGCAAAATTCAAATTGAACTCGTATCGGTATCGGTCAATGTATAGTCGCTGCCACAGGCTATTATACAGACCCCCGTTAAGTTAATATACAAACAGGAGAAGTTTTAACCAACATTTTATCAGAAAAGATATTATTTAAAACAATTCATCCGAAAACGGTTTTCGCTTTAAACATACAAATGTGTCTGCTTTTCACAGTTCCGATAGAGATATCTTAGACAAATTGAAATGAAAGTAAAATCGAAAATGCATACCAAAGCGTGAATACGCAAAAGCACAATCAGAACTGCATGTCAAAATTCCGACAATACAACACAGAGAACGAAGGCAGATACTAATACAACAGCTAAGGCACAAACATCCCATTTAACATGTCTGTGATCCCGGTAGACACTGGAATGTCATAACTAAAAATAAAATCATACCGGAATGAAATATCTTCATTCTTTATTGAAGTTCATCCTCGTTACTCCAGGGGTTACGCTCACCTTTGCTTTATGCACCCCTGGAATTTGTCAAAGCAAATTTGAAGGCACTAAGACAGCCGTTTGATTGGTTTCAGGTAACAGAAAACGTTTGACGAATCGCTAAGCTGATAGATGTTCTTTGAATATTACAAAAGAGCGACGACCGACTTCAAAGTCAGTAATTTTTTTACCGTTACGCGAACGCGAGGTTCTTTTGATGTATCGAGGTTGAGTGAAGCTTCTCTGGTTGAAACTCTAACCTAGTTGTTTGTTTATTAACACGACGCATCTGTTCAGAAACAGCCTTATACTTAGAATAAAATACTTGGAATAGCGCATATTGAATAGTCCTCACCCTTACATCACATCCATATTTGAATAAAGTGTATGAAGATTTCATCGGAAACTCAGGACAGAGAAAACAAATTAAAAGTAGGACAAAAGGAAACCGGTGCATCAAAACGTGTAGTGTATGATTGACTTTGTACAAAATCATATTCATAAGTAGTAGGAAAAAGCTTAGCATAGTTCAACGTGATTTCCTGTTGTAATGCCGATCTGTCACCAAATTCGACCAAAAAAATAATATGCAGAGTCATTTTATCATAAGTACCTGACATCAGTGTCAAATATAGGGTACACGTTTCGTGTGTAACCATTAAATAGGCAGTGCACTATTCAACATGGCATGGATATGAATATATAAATACCAAATCAGTTTGGTTTCGTAAGTGAATTAATGTTTACAAAAAACATACATGGTTGTGGAAGGTACGTTTGACCGGCTCCTTCTCTGATTTTAATTGACAACCTCAAAGAGTGTTACGTCAGTCAGCGAATTGAACAATAGGAACTGCATTATTGTTCAAGAGCATTGTACAATGAGTTTTGTTTTGCGCGAGACTGCTTCAATAAACCCGCAAATCAGTCATTGTTGAATTTTACTTTAAAATACTGTAAACGTTCATATTTTAGCTGTAGTTTTGTTTTGGCACGTTTTGCGCTTTGATTATGAGGCTAAAATATGAATATTGAAGTTAATGTATATTATTACATATTGCCAATTCATCAATGCACTAATCTATTAAAAATTCGATAATGCACTAAACGTCCAGTACGCTTAAATAAGTACGTTTATTTGTACTAAATCTGTACAAAAGAAACGCGGTGGAAATTTGGTGTTTTGCAAGATTTATAAACAGGCAACTTTCATGTCACCAAAGCATATTTCCATCGCAACATTTGACATTAAATTCATTATTAATGGATGTAGTACCAGGAAGGCAGTGAAGGCAAACAATGTCTGAACATTGAAACGAGCCATACAGAACACCAAAGGAAGTAACTTTGTCATAGAAACAATGTGTATGTTAGGTATTTTACCAATGTTACATTACATATCCCCATGGTTCTCACATGCTTTTGTTTAAAGTTAAAGCCAGTCCACTTCCATAATGTCAGTTGCGGATTTTTTGGGGTTTTTTTTTGTTTCTTTTTTGTTTCTTTTTTTGTTTTCTATTTTTTGTACACGCTTCCTATTGGAGAAAAACTAAACGGTACCTTATCATGAAATAACAACCGGAATAAGTTTGCACACATGAAAAAAGAGGAAAACCCTATGCGTATTCTATTTCAAAGTCACTTCTTCTATAACAGTCTCGCTCAACCAGACGCTTATCTCCACTCGTGTTTCAATCTCGCGCGAGGCAGTCTCGAGAGAGGGCGAGAGTCTGGGGAATGCGAGACTATTAAGAGGAGACGAGTGGTCATTAACTAGGTCACAATGTAACCTCAATTAAACCTTGGGAAAACAATCACAATCAGATGTCGATTTATGTATATAAGAGAAATGAGTCACATCAAACACGCATGACGTCAGTTTGATTTAACAGTTTGAGATAATATCATGAAGTTGGCGAGTTTTGCGGGTGAATAGAAAATATATTGGCCATCTCGGAATAAGTGTAATCACAGCACCTTGAGAAGGAAATTAACTTCAGGCGAGAGTAGTGGTAGGTGCCAAAATAATATTATGAAGACGAAGAAGGGGGTTTGCCATAGTAGTTATTTCAAGTTAAGGATAAATACGGTTCAAGTAGATATCGAAATAATTTGCTATTCAAAACAAAACATCATCAATGTATCGTTATGTGAGACAAAGGATCTGACTAATATTATATTTGCGTTTCTTAATTCCGGCGTGCTATTGTATGAGGTAAAGGATTGGCCTCCAGCGAAGGTGCATCTTGTGTCGGACGTATGTTTAGACATACAAATCTGAATTCGGAATGCTGGCTCGTTATTATCTTTTACATTTGAATGAGTTTAAGGAAGTTTAAATTAGCCTCAATACACTGTGTCTAGTCACGTCCAACCATCTCGACTGTTGAACATGTAGGATGATATAGAGCGGTGTACATAAGTTTATTATAATTCACTTGTGATATCGCATATTAATCATTATGTTACGAAAGTTCATCATCAAATTTAAAAATCGGTCTGGTTTGATACAAATTAAACATGTTACAGTGGGCTGTTTTCAAGTCCTAAAATACAAGACTCTCAAAGTGTCACAACGAGAACACATTCAACACGCGAGAATTTCCATTTGTACAGTACGATTATTATTCCGGAATATTTACTTTCACTTCAAGTCATTTTGTGGGAATCAAGCTGTCTTTTCCTTTATTTCTGTCTCTTCAGTGTCTTTTGTGGGCAATTATTTACTGTTTTACTTATTTAAAGTTTCGATCTTGTCCTTGTGTGTTGGCGTTGTTGTATATTCTTTTGTAAAAATAGCTTTGCTTTAGAAAAAAAATGTAGATACAACGGTGATATGATTCTAAAAATATTAAATCTAAAATGTTTCATTTATAATAAAATTGAGTGTGCGCTGGACGTATACCTTCGATTTGAATATTACAGATGAACGCGACCCGTCTTCATAACTGGTCAATTTTACCGTTATGCTGCTGCGTGGTTCTTCTGCTGAATATCTAATGATTGAACTACATGTAGTCTACCTGCATCATCCACTCGGTGGTGGGTACCCAGCCTTAGATTTCGTCACGACATATTCCAATGGTGAGGAGAAATTACGTGTATCAAGAGCGGAAACTTTGGTTTGGAGGATTATTATTTGTTATCTCTGGATTGGGAGGGAACTACGGGACCTTATAGACCCCGAGCCAAAGGCGATGTGTCTATGAGCCAGTAGACCCCTCCTAACCCAGAGATAACGAATTTGTCACCCTGACAATCTTTTATTACACTTTCTCCTGCAAAATAATAAGTCACTTTCTGAGTTGGAGTTTTCTTAACTGCTACCAAAATAGCCCCTACCGGACATCTTTTCGGCAATATTTCGGACAATACACAACCATCTTTGCAATTAGCACCACAGCGGCCCCTTATTGCCTGTTTCGTTGAATTTGCTGTCGTTTTAGATTGCTTTTAGGTTATTTCATCCTAAGAATGATTTGCAAACCTCGAACACTTGTGTGTGTCGGGCGCCATTTTTGTTGTAAGGAAGGGATATTCTAGTTTGAGTTATCTTCCCTAGCACGTGCTTTAAACAGAAAGAGTGGTACAAATTAGAAGGGTGACATAACAATATTTATATTCCCATACGTTATAGCCAATCAGAGGCCACAGTGACCACCTTCGATGGCATTGGCAATGCCTTTCGCATATTTGCACGTGTCCGTTAATATTCATGCGAAGATCAATTAGGAGAAACAAATATAAATATATGCCCGAAACTTTGTCTAGGTGTTTTTTTAGTTAAAACTTCGATACACTGCCCTAGTTTCATTTGTAAGAAAGTATATTTTAGAGTTCTATATGCTTTTATTTTCTTCATTACTTCTTGCCACAATTATAACGTCTCTCTTGCGTATAACCTAATTCCTAATAAATGCTGTAGTGTTGCATGACAAACAATGACGATGTAGTGAGAGTTGATATACAAATGCAACTAATGTTTTATTTGATTTTAGCCAAGGCCATGATAAGGCCCATGCCCAAAGCAGATATTCCAACAAGCGGCAATTGATCTATAATTTTGTCTTTCATCGTTTTAGGGTATGACGATGTATTGACATTTGAGCCATGTGAAGCGTCATATTCATCAGTGTTGCTGTTGTTGTTGATTTTGTTGTTGTTATTGTTGTTGTGACCACAGACATTACTCGTCCCTGGTGTATGTATAGGATCCAGGCCTTCCTCACTCGGCCGTCTGTTCATTGATATTCCTTGTGTTGCGATGTCTTCATCCGGTGTCTTTGAATCATCCACTGCACTCGTGTCCTTTCCAACAAAGGATACAGATGGCTGTATATCAGTGTCACATAATGGTGACAAGTTACGCTCGTTTTGTTGTCCGACCTGGTCATCAGACGGAGAGAGACTCATGTCCCCATGTGTTTGACTATGTCTGGTCATCGGGTTAAATTGACAACTGGAAACTAGTGAGTCATGTTCACCCTGAGATGGCATTGCATTTTCATTGATTTTCATTGACGTTTCTTTGTTCGCTTCGCTGAACATCATTTCTGTGGGCAGAAGTATGTCACGTCCATGTTCATCACAGTCCAGTTGACCTTTCCTGATCTCTGGTAAGCAGTAACCAGTGATACTTTGCACTTGTTCTAAAAGGTCAAACCTTTCGAGTTCCTGTAAAGTCATCAGTAGATTTTTGAGGGTGGCATCCTCACGTTGACTCCAGTCTTCCAACAGTTTCTTTGTACAGGAGGGTTGGTTCTGATTACACTTCATCCGGGTTACTTCGTCATTCGTATACTCTAGAATAATACAAGTTTATAATATAAAACACGGCTACATACTTTTTTTTTAAAGGGAAAACACAGAAATTTAAGTCGATCATTTTGCCCCCACACGCATATACATACATAAGGCAGAATATGCCGACAGTATTGCATACAATAGTATGTGGTTGATTTTAAAAGGCGACTAGTCCTAAAAACACTTAGTTCACTTAATTCATTCTACTGATTTTTTTATGAAAATTTGGAGTAAAATAAATATTTACATTACTATGGAGTGAAGTGGATGTTTACGTTAATGTGGAGTAAAGTGGATGTTTACGTTACTGTGGAGCAAAATGAATGTTTACTTCACTGTGAGTAAAGTGGATGTTTACGTTACTGTGGAGTAAAGTGGATGTTTACATTACTGTGGAGTTAAGTGGGTGTTTACGTTACTGTGGAGTGAAGTGGATGTTTACGTTACTGTGGAGTAAAGTGGATGTCTACGTTACGGTGGAGTATAGTGGATGTTTACGTTACTGTGGAATATGTTGAATGTTTACTTCACTGTGGAGTAAAGTGGATATTTACTTTACTGTGGAGTAAAGTGGATGTTTACGTTACTGTGGAGTTAAGAGTGTGTTTACGTTACTGTGGAGTGAAGTGGATGTTTACGTTACTGTGGAGTAAAGTGATTGCTTACTTCACTGTGGAGTAAAGTGGATATTTACTTTACTGCGGAGTGAAGTGGATGTTTACGTTACTGTGGAGTAAAGTGGATGTTTACTTTACTCTGGAGTGAAGTGGATGTTTACGTTACTGTGGAGTATAGTGAATGTTTATTTCATTGTGGAGTAAAGTGGATATTTACTTAACTGTGGAGTGAAGTGATGTTTACGTTACTGTGGAGTAAAGTGGATGTTTACGTTACTGTGGAGTGAAGTGGATGTTTACGTACGTGTGGAGTAAGGTGGATGTTAGGTGCTTGTAGAGTAAAGTGGATGTTTCAGTCATACCCAATGTTGAATGTTTATGCAAATACGGAATTAACTTAATGTTTTCAAATGTGTGGGGTGAGGACTTTTCACTTACTGAAGTGTGCAGCCATAGCTTCCCAGTTATTAACCACGTCCTGACTGTCCATGATCTTCAGTACGGATGAAACTCTGGCCGGAAGGTCTTTATACTTTGTGTCACCTGTGCAAATCCTTGACCTGACAGATTGTAGTTTCCGGGTAGCATGAATGGGTCGTACCTTCCGGTCGGTGCGTGGGACTGACCATTCATCATCTATTTCTGTTTTGAAAAAGAAAAAGAAGAGAAAAGTCGATAATAAATAAGTTATTGGATAAATAGTTAATTTTGTTCGAAATTCAAAATTATTCCTGCATTTCTCCTTTTCTCAAAATATCATAACTGCATTATTGAACTGGCTTGCAACTTTGGTCGTAATGAGGTTCCTTTATCGGCCTTTGGCGTCATACTAATTGTGAACCGTGGAGAGATCAAAACAAATTTAATGATATGTACCCACGCAATTTGCAGTGTTAAGTGAAGCATAGATGACTTCTTATGTTCCCCAAGAGCATGAGTATATTGTAGTTTCGATATATTGCAAGGATTAAATTTGCAATAAAATTAAGTATAAGCACCTTTTACATAATTGCACCTTGATGACGATTTATTGCAAGGTGATATAATCATATTAATGCAGACACTAGGATTTATCAGCCAATCTCAATGATGACAAACCCTTGCAAGTTCGGGGAAAGAATAGGCCTGCTGTTTCCCACTGCGTGGTCGTAAGAGACCTTATGTTGGACCCCTTTTAGGATCGGGGATTGTCTCCTCCTTTTCCTCTAGTTTCGCGGACATTGAAGAAACTAAATATAGACCTGCTGTGCCCCCATTGCAACACTTGGAATCTTTTCTTCGTTTCCTATCTTTCCTGTCTTCTTTATTTTCTATCTACTTTGTGTTTTCGGCGGTGTGTACCTAGACACCCGTCCTCATATTACCCTGGCTGTTTTGTCTCCCTAGGCACCCGTCATCATATTACCCTGGCTGTTGTGTCTCCCTAGGCATCCGTTTTATATTACCTGGCTGTTGTGTCTCCCTAGGCACCGTCCTCATATTACCCCGGCTGTTGTGTCTCCATAGGCACCGTCCTCATATTACCCCGGCTGTTGTGTCTCCCTAGGCACCGTCCTCATATTACCTGTCTGTTGTGTCTCCCTAGGCACCCGTCCTCATATTACCCCGGCTGTTGTGTCTCCCTAGGCACCCGTCCTCATATTACCCCGGCTGTTGTGTCTCCCTAGGCACCCGTCCTCATATTACCCTGGCTGTTTTGTTTCCCTAGGCACCCGTCCTCATATTACCCCGGCTGTTGTGTCTCCCTAGGCACCCGTCCTCATATTACCCCGGCTGTTGTGTCTCCATAGGCACCGTCCTCATATTACCCTTGCTGTTGTGTCTCCATAGGCACCGTCCTCATATTACCCCGGCTGTTGTGTCTCCCTAAAATCCTTAAATCCCATACAAACACACACAAAACCCAATAATGGCTACAAGGATGAAGTATAACCTACCTTCCAGCTTGTCAGCCAGATGGTGTTGGCAGTTACTACGTAGGGCAGCTAGGAGCTGATCCCACCAATTATCCATCCGTATAAGGTGTTCATACATCTTTATGGCGGCCTTGCTCCTGCTCCAGTGTTGCTGTCTACTTTCAATTTCCTCCTGCAAAGTTATCATAAGATTTTAATTTTACTTTTTCACACAACATATCTCCTATTTTAGATATTTCATACGCGTAATAAATAAATGACTGCAGTCTTTCCTTCTGATTTGTTAGACATGCTTGACATTTGATTATGACGTCATAAAAATAACTCTGTTGTGTCATGATATCCTATGAATTGGAAGACAAACATGTAGCTAAAAAATATTAGAGTAAAACCATTCTGAACATGTTTCATACAACATATCAAATGGAATCGAATTCGGGGAGTTGCCTCCCCTATAGTACAAAACGACACCATGGAATGCCAAGGGACTGTACACGTAGCTTTTCTCCATCTATTTATTGTTATCCAAGATAGCCTTTTAAATGTGACTATATCATAAATTATGTCAATTTGAAAAACAACATCAATTGTGATTGGCTTATGGTCACCGGAATCTTTGGAAAATTTGAATTACTTCGATAAAATTGCAGGTATGAGGCGAGTAATGATATCGTACATAGTGACTAATGTGATCGTACATAATGACTAATGTGATCGTACATAGTGACTAATGTGATCGTATACCGTGACTTATGAGATCATACATAATGACTAATGTGATCGTACATAGTAACCAATGTGATCGTACATAGTGACGTATATGATCGTACATAGTGACTGATGTGATCGTACATAGTGACTAATATGATCGTACATAGTGACCAATGTGATCGTACATAATGACTAATGTGATCGTACATAGTAACCAATGTGATCGTACATAGTGACCAATGTGATCGTACATAGTGACTAATGTGATCGTACATAGTGACTAATGTGATCGTATACAGTGACTAATGTGATCGTACATAGTGACTAATGTGATCGTACATAGTGACCGTACATAGTGACTAATGTGATCGTACATAGTGACGTATGTGATCGTACATAGTGACCAATGTGATCGTATATAGTGATTAATGTGATCATACATAATGACTAATGTGATCGTACATAATGACTAATGTGATCGTACATAGTAACCAATGGGATCGTACATAGTGACGTATGTGATCGTACATATTGACCAATGTGATCGTATATAGTGATTAATGTGATCATACATAATGACTATTGTGATCGTACATAATGACTAATGTGATCGTACAGAGTGACTAATGTGATCGTATATAGTAACCAATGTGATCGTACATAGTGACGTATGTGACCGTACATAGTGACCGTACATAGTGACTAATGTGATCGTACATAGTGACGTATGTGATCGTACATAGGGACTAATGTGATCATATACAGTGACTTATGAGATCATACATAGTAACCAATGTGATCGCACATAGTGACGTATGTGATCGTACATAGTGAGTAGTGTGATCGTACATAGTGACTAATGTGATCGTACATAATGACTAATGTGATCGTACATAGAAACCAATGTGATCGTACATAGTGACCAATGTGATCGTATATAGTGATTAATGTGATCATACATAATGACTATTGTGATCGTACATAATGACTAATGTGATCGTACAGAGTGACTAATGTGATCGTATATAGTAACCAATGTGATCGTACATAGTGACGTATGTGATCGTACATATTGACCAATGTGATCGTATATAGTGATTAATGTGATCATACATAATGACTAATGTGATCGTACATAGTAACCAATGGGATCGTACATAGTGACGTATGTGATCGTACATAGGGACTAATGTGATCATATACAGTGACTTATGAGATCATACATAATGACTACTGTGATCGTACATAGTGACTTATGTGATCGTACATAATGACTAATGTGATCGTACATAGTGACTGATGTGATCGCACATAGTAACCAATGTGATCGTACATAGTGACGTATGTGACCGTACATAGTGACCGTACATAGTGACTAATGTGATCGTACATAATGACTAATGTGATTGTACATAATGACAAATGTGATCGTACATAATGACTAATGTGATCGTATATAGTGACCAATGTGATCGTACATAATGACTTATGTGATCGTACATAGTGACCAATGTGATCGTACATAATAACTAATGTGATCTTACATAATGACTAATGTGATCGTACATAGTGACTAATGCGATCGTACATAATAACTAATGTGATCGTATATAGTGATTAATGTGATCGTACATAGTGACTAATGTGATCGTATACAGTGACTTATGTGATCGTACATACTGACTAATGTGATCGTACATAGTGACCAATGCGATCGTACATAATAACTAATGGGATCGTATATAGTGATTAATGTGATAGTACATAGTGACTAATGTGATCGTAGATAATGACTGATGTGATCGTACATAATGACTAATGTGATTGTACTTAGTGACGTATGTGATAGTACATATGACTAATGTGATCGTACATAGTGACTGATGTGATTGTACATAGTGACTAATGTGATCATATTCAGTGACTTATGAGATCATACATAATGACTAATGTGAACGTACATAATGACTAATGTGATCGTATTTAGTGACTGATGTGATCGTACATAGTGACTAATGTGATTGTATACAGTGACTTATGTGATCGTACATACTGACTAATGTGATCGTACATAGTGACCAATGCGATCGTACATAATAACTAATGTTATCGTATATAGTGATTAATGTGATCGTCCATAGTGACTAATGTGATCGTATACAGTGAGTTATGTGATCGTACATAGTGACTAATGTGACCGTACATAATGACTGATGTGATCGTACATAATGACTAATGTGAGCGTACATAATGACTAATGTGATTGTACTTAGTGACGTATGTGATAGTACATATGACTAATGTGATCGTACATAGTGACTAATGTGATCGCACAGTGTTACTGATGTGATCGTACATAGTGACTAATGTGATCGTACAAAGTAAGTATATGAGGCGACCTTTTCGTAAAAGTAATAATGATGCTATTTTTTGCAATCTTACCTTGCTTGACTGAGTCAGACAGTGAAGATAAGGCAGGAGCTCAATGGGGTCGACTTTCTTTGTAAACTCTGGCAAGTGTTTCTCAAAATGGCGGATTCTCTTGTCGTTAAGAAAGGTCATCTTGATACACAGTGCTTACAGTGCTTACGGGAGGACAGACTCTTTAAAATAAAACAATTTCAATACGTTTATTTATGTCTGTAAATATACATTGTCTGTTAAATATTGACATTCTGAAGAATTTATAATAAGTATGTAAAATATTAACATTCCAAAAGGTCCGAAAAGTTTGGAATCCTCCCCGCTCCGTCCCCCTAAAAGGCTCAGCACATAAGTAGTATAGATTGCATAAACAAAAAGAAATAACGGTACAACATATTGTTTACATTACGTTTTCCGTCGTGAGCCCGAAATATCCGTCCATTAGCAATTCAGTTAATGCATGATTTTTACAAATGTATTGATTTTGTTTGTCTATCGATAGTGTGAGATATGAACCTCTCCCACACTGTTAGATTGTATGGTATCACTGTATCTACACAACACAAATATGTACACTGTTTACGTCACATGTGTACCTACACATTCATAATATATTATCGTATAACAGATCGGTACGGGCTAGCCGTAATCTTCAAAGATACGTTATTTGAACGTACCAAAAGAATCATGTATTACACTAATTCATTAATTGGCTCTACCGCCTTTCGTCTTCTGCAACTCCGAATGAATTGTAAAATAACGGATTGTAAAATGTTGTTTTCTCAAACGACATTTTCGATGTACATATACTCTAGAATATACAGGTACAGGTTCTTCTAAGCTCCCTCAAGCACATGTAATATGATGAGCGTACTGTGCGGACCCTGTCGCGATGACCACCGACCTTTGATGCACCACCGAGGGTTTGTCATCGCGGTCATCGCGGGTTGCGATATTCGTAGCGGCTATGTGCGCGTTTTGTTTACAGGGACAGGTGAAAATAAATTTCAAGACGTATGTTTCAATCTGTCCTAATATGACACTCGGGGGAAAAGGCCATCCCAATCATGTTATATATCCCATCCCTTGGGCACCCCTAAAAACTCTTATGATACCCTGTGTAATGTTATCTCGGGTCCTTGCGGTTTTCGGTTTGTCGAATATCATATACAGCGCAACGTCTCTTAATTTATGAATAACAGATCAATTAAGTTACAAGTAGCCTTATATTGTTTGATTTGGTTTGTTTTAGTATTGTTTTACGTCATATCAACAGCTATGGTCATTTAAGGACGGCCTCCCCTGTGTGCAAGATGTATGTAGAAACTACCATTTTTACAGACTCTTGTATGTATCGGCCAGGGGACAGAACCCAAAGCCTTCCTCACAGAGGCAAACGGTCAACTAAAGGCCAAAAGTGAGGCAATGTCAAGGGAGACATTAGGGAGAAAACAATTGTTAAGAAAGAAAAAAAGATAATATCCCAAATTTATAGTCGCCTCTTACGATCATGCAATGGGGACAGCAGGTACAATTCTTACGCCCTACCTGCAGGGAGGGCTTTATATTGTAAAGAATTACTAAGATGCCTGATAAATCTCACTGAAATGTGTGATGGTCCTGTTCTGACGTCATTTACTGCTGAAGTGTAGGGAGTAAGTGACCTGAACAAGCCTATGTATAGTATACATGTACTAGGGAAACACGAGTCTTTGTTTCTCTGAGATTTCACACTGTAATCGTGTTTCAGGAGGGTGAAGCTCGTGTGAAACATGAATAATCGAGGAGCAACAAATAATTCGCGTTCCCCCACAGTAAGGACAGTAACTGTTTAATCATGCCGAGATGATCATGTTGATGCGCCATTATTGTCGTCTGCTTCCGTCTTTCGGAACTAGGTTGTGACGGCTCTTGTTCATATATTTCTAGAGAGACTCGGACTAAGGGTATATGATGTTTTATTACCCCGTCATGCGACCATATATAATCCAATTTGACACGCTGTTATAAAGCTGGTCGCTGGTTTAATCCCGGGGTTTGGTCTTTAACTTTATTCTGTTATATATATATGTATAATAAAACAATGTATTACATTATATTGCAAGTCACATTGTGTGTTTAGGTAGGGAGTGTATATATACAGATAAAAAATATAGTTCATGAGGTACGTATATATATGTTGTCAATATGGTCTTTAGGTAAACCCAGCAATATATAAAGACGAACGAACATCATACAACAGACACAAAATAACATAATATAACAAACGCTAAATTGATGAAATTGCAAACACGACATAATCAAAAATATAATGACAAGAAGACATTGTACTACACTGTCATATAATATACAAATAGTGCATGTCCAACTCTTGACAAAATGCCCGTATAATTTGAAACTAGTTAAAGGGGTGGCTGGGAATGAATATAAATTCGATAACTGGTCAAACAAAAATGAATACCTGTTAGGTCTATCCAGGTACAATCAGGTACAACTACGGAGTTAGATAGGTCCGTGGTACAACACAAACACCGATATAACGATACAGGGAAACGTATATATATATGTACATATGTACGTACCTTTTCATTTCATTATCAAGTGGAGTCAGATCTGGCGTAAGTGCTCGTTTACATACTAAAATCAGCAGACGATATATGTACATGTATGGCTTGTAATAAGATATCAACAATAAATCATGTGTGTGAGTCCACGTAGAGTGAACTGACTGAGTGCTATGATTAGCACAAAAAGGGGATTCCCCTAACAAAAAAAACATGTTTATTCCACACAGGAGATTTCCTACGCTATAAATAGGCTACAGTGGATCTGGTCGGTCACAGGGACCTGGGGATTAATTGCATTGTTTACAGTTTGTTTTTTATTTGTTGTTTGATGTTTTTGGACTAAGATCCACTCTCGGTATTTACTGAGTGTTGATATTCCCAGCACAGTGGATGGCTCTAGACACAGGGACATGTCACATGCTGTTTAACCGGAAAAATATCTATACATAGATTATGCACTTATATAGATATTTCTTCCGTTATGTTGCATGTGACAAGTCCCTGCGGCCCACATTTTGTTATTGATTCTCAATGTTGATGTGTCGGTAATCATATAGACCAAAACGAAAGTACAGTGATATAGGAATTTAGCGCATTTCAGCCAGCCATTTCAGAGATATATTTAGATGATTACGTGACGTCCTTGAAATTACGCCAGACAGCTGGCCCTCCGAATACTTGCTTGCCAAGTTTAATAGACAAGGCCTAGGTCTACGTCATACTCTTTGTTCAGCAGTGGAACATATACTCAATGAATTGCAAAATGATTTTGAAAAGGGTGCAGTTGCATTGCGGTTAATTTGTTTATGATACAGTTGAAATACTCTTAATGAATTAATCGGTATGGGTAATTAGCAATGATGATGAAGTCTAATGTTGAAATGTGCACGCACTTAAATATTTGCCAAAACACGCAATGTCTGCTCGATTCCCCTGGTAAAGTCGCACGCCGCGTAGCACGCAGGTGTACATGTACCAATCGATCATCTGGTCGAACGTTCGAGAGCCCCGTGAGCCGCGTAAATCGAACAGACCTTATGTACATTAGCTATACGTCACTTCCGCTTTTACCTTATTTTCGGGGAGGATTTCCATCGATATCATTGATATCAAGATTATATCTAATAGGAGTGAAAATGGTAAAGAAATTTATGTCAGCGCATTTGAAAGATATGTATAAAATTTCGCTTTAATTAAGGATACTGTATCGCATGGAAATTTAAGTAAGTGATAGTGACCCCTGGAATATCGAGGATGCTGTCCTCCCCACTGAGAAACCTTGTAAAATATACAATGTATGTACACACATGTATTCTAACCTTAATTCTAGTTCTTTTGTCTTTTCGCATCTAAAACTTACTAAATCTTGTCCGGGCGAAAAAACAAAACAACGAAATGACACAATTTGTGCCATTTCGTAAGTTCGTCTTTTCGCTCCGAGAAGACAAGAATCAACAAACCTTAATTTTCGCTGTTTGCTCGTTTGCCCCGAAATGACGAACCATCAAGAATTAAAAGTTACTAAATCTTGTCTTATTTTCGGTGTATTTGACGCGGAGGTGGACGATAGCGACAGATTGTAATGCAGTCACAATGGTAGGGAATGTCGTGAATTTTGTTTTTCGTTGTTTTTTTGTGGAGGGGGGAGGGGGCGGGTCCTAAAATTAAACATACAGATCGCATAAAAAATTACATTTCGACGGCACACCACTTGCTCGTATATAACACGTTTTGATGAATGTTTTAATTATAGCTCAACGATCTCTCATTTCCTGACACATTGACATGATATTGAAAATTAATTAATGAAGAATTTACATACAGTGTATACGCCGAACTTGTCTTTGTTAGCGGTATTAATTAACACTCTGAATCATATATAGTTCATGCATTTAGTAATGCCATTAATTACACCTGTATGTTTCTTACCTGTACATCACACAGGTACGATCAGCCATACCTAGAGGCTGGTGTCGTGACAGAAAAACAACATGGAGGATAGGGGACAGGAACCAGAGTTTGAAACACAATCAAGGCGACGGGACAGTTACCTGGACAGGTCAGAGGTTAGCAGCTGTGTCAAGTACATCCTCTTCTTCACCAACCTTATCCTGTTTGTAAGTATTCTTTGAAATGTACAAGACCAGTTCCTCTCCTCCATCATTCTACAAGCTATACCAATACCGAGGCGGGTTTTTTTTTGTTCCGCTACATTGATTTGCAGGTCACTAAGTAAAACTGACAAATAAATGATTGACTTTTAATCCTAGATAATACTGGGGTCCTCAAAAATATATCGTTGTGAAATACTCCAGAACAAGCATGCACTTTACAAACAAGTAAAAGTCACGACAAATATTATTTATAGCCATAGCCAACTAGTACCAGTAAAGGAAACATAATGACCGATAGACAAGTCTGTTTCATATTTTAGTAGCATTGGCCGGAACGGTTCCAACATTCCACATATATCATGATTTCAATTCACAAATCATACTGACAAATGGGAATCAAGAAAGTATAATTTTACATGGCTGAAATATCATTGTCATGACCCCTATGTTCGCTTGTAGCGCCCCCCCCCCCCCCCCCCCTTTCTCCTCCCTTTTCTCTCCCTAAATTCTTTGTAGGGAAATTGTACCATGTCATGTTGCCTTCGTCTTTGTGTGTCATGTGTCTATAGATCACGTTTCTTTCTACATTATACGCACATTTTTACCTCGGGCGAATGACAGCACTGATGTCACTGGTCTCGTCTTGACAGGAAACAAAAGTGTCCCGGGGTCAAAGTACATGTACAATTAATGAAAGGGCAAAGGACATCTACGTCACGGTATTGCGGGATTTAAAATAGAGTAACATGTTACATTTTTTTTTTTTAATTTTATGTTCTATATCTCCGGGAGTTTCCCTTCCACAACCGTCACAGACAAATGTGATATGCTAAAAAATATATTGACAGTTTTTTTTTCTTCAATTTTGAATATCAAATCACAAACGTATATGTTAAATGGCAAACTATAGCCCAGCTTAAATAGCACAGCTTTAATCTTCTGTCCCCCNTAATGCTGTATTAGGCCTATATCTATATCATAATTTATGTTTTATAGCATTTCACATTAATATTCTTCTACTTCGCGGTTATGCACCACAACCCGGCACCTGAAAGCAGTGCAGCCTAAGTATTGGTGCTACATGTACATGTACATATAAATCTCTTGCGACGTAAGGCAATGGTCTCTGAACCGGAGAGCCGACTCAATCATGGTCAATGGAAATTATCATACAACTAAATACACACCGAATGCACAGGTGTATGTACCTTAATATGTTTTTGTTATTAACCTACAGCTATTTATTTACAGAAAATAGCTGAAGTGTTGGTGCTGAATGTATATCCAATCGCTTAGGTACAAATGTAGAACTTCAATCTCCTGTTTAAGGTCTTTGAACCGGAGAGCTGTCACCAATGAACAAACGGTCAAGGTCAATGGAAATTATCATACAAATAAATATACACCTAACGCACAAGCGTTTGTACCTTATATATATGTTTTGTGTTTTACGTAGGCTTTTTTTACGGGTATGCTGTACAGGTAGAAACCAGAAGGAAAACACTTCCGGAATTCAAATATATTTCACATGTAGATGTTTGCGGTTCCAAATTTTTACATTTAAAAAACCCTCATCGATAGGTTGACATTATCTGAGTCATATATATATATATATATATATATAATACTGAATATTTCCCATGTTACGTAATGGTTATGTAATAATGTATATATATGGAAAACGAAAGTAACTTCGTGCCGTCAATGACGTGTCTGGGTTTTTACTGGGGATTGAAGTGCAAACACAATGTATTGTGAACACATATGAACCTGATACCTAAATATACTGTATGCCGGGGGG